TGATTTAGTAAATATATAGGCGAGACCGAGTTAGGCGGCAGCGAAGGAGACCGAAAAAGGTCTCTTCACGTCTGAACACATTTTTATGACGGCGCGACGTACGACATCACTTTTAGCACGGTAGGATTTGCTGCTGTCTGTCGCTTGAAGTCGGTCTCGATCTCACCTTTGCTAATGTTACCTTAAAGTTCCAAATATTCTCGAGACACATAATATCGCGAATTATTTCCAGTGGCGCGTATAAATACAATTATATATTAGAAAATTCTTAAACATTTTTGCTTTTGCGAGAGATCCGGTTTGCTCTTAAATATTTTAATAACAAAATAAAAGATTACTAAACACAAACACTAAAAATGAAAACATAATTAATTTTTAATCTTAAGCACGAGTACAACTTTTTGAAAACATATTTCATAAAAGTTAGGGTTTATAAGTATTTCATATGAAATTTGTTATAAAAAAGGTACTTTTGGTTGATCTCCAGAACATTGTATTTTTCAGTTTTTTAAGATGAAAGCTATTAACATAAGAAATTCCAAAAGGCTGATTTTTATTAAATAAAAGAGATTACAAGAAAAGTATTCAACAAAATGTCTTTTTTGCAAGCATACTATGTTTAAAGTAGGTAGGTACTCTGAAAGTTAAAACTTTCAATACAACAAATACGAAAAACTTAACATGTGACTTCAACCCTCGAGCAGTGGGTGAACAACTTCTACAATTTAAATAGGAAAAGTGACATGGATAACACATCAATGAAAAGGTAATTTGATGGAGAATTCGGCAATAAAACTATTTATTGCATTACTTTTGAGTTTAGCGTCCTAAAGCTTGATAAAAAAACTATAACGTATTGCAAGTGTAACACTTTCATTTGAAAGCTAATTTATTAATCCAGTGCACCACATAACATTAATCTAAATATATCCATATTACATTTGCAACAAAATACATGCAGTTAGCAATAATGCAAACAATAACTATAAATTCGAGTTTTAAACATTGCCAAATGATATCTAGAATAATATACATAGAAACAAAAATAAAGAATTTAGAAATAAAATTATATAAAAATACATAATTATAATTGGAAAATTATGAAAATTATAAAAATAGAAAATTTAACAGACACACACCTTACTTGAGCCCAAGTCGAGACTCGCGTATCGGAGACAACATTAATCATTTGTAGTGCGCATGTCGTATGCGTTTTATTTGTACATCGGTCTCTTTTTGACAGAGTAGGTGAGCTTTGTCCAGGCCGTTGGTGTTTATGCCGGTCGGCGTAGCCAGGTACGGATTGAAATTTTCTACGAAAAGTCGTTGCCTTATCTTCTTGTTGTCACGGCATTATTAATATTTGTTCATGTATGTGAAATTTACTTCTAAGGTTTATAAAATACTACTGCTAGTCACGGCGTAAATGAAAACCAACAAGACGCATTGACACAAACACCTCCCACCACAGCAATTACAAATGGGCCTCAATTTCAATTCATCTGATTAGTATGCCAGTCCTTCTTAAAGGGCTGTGAAGGATGACATATTATCATCATTTAGACAGGGTTTGCTGAGGGCATTTCCTGTTTCGTCGTCCGTTTGTTTGTCATGTGTGTGCTCATTCTGTGAGAGTTTGCCATCTGTGAACGCTTTCCCAGTCTCCATTGGCGACTAGGAGGACCTTCTCCCCCAGGTGGGTTGTCGTCTGTTGCTCACTCCCTATCTGAATCGCGTGTTGTATTCTTGTAATGTATTCTGAAAGAGAATGCTGAAAGAGAAATCTTATGATCTATGAGCGTCTTGAATTTTTACACCGTGGTTCGGTCACTCGCCGCCATAATCCAGCCCTTTGCGTGGTCTGGCGTGTCTCCTATAATCCGCTCTCTCATACTCTGTTAGTTCTCGTAATTCAATGTTAGGGTGCGTCCTTAGTTTTTCGAAGGTGTCCGTGGCCTTCTTGTGAATGAGGTCTAGGACCCTTTTGGATTCTAGATCTCTCATAATTACGTCATTTCTGGTGTACCGGTAAGCATTTGAGGCCCATCTCAGGCTGATGTTTTGTTGTGCTTGTACCCTCTTCCTGTTTGATTTACAGGTGTAACCCCACGCCGTCGAGGCGTACATCAGTGCCCGAATGAGCCTCATTTTTGTCTGTAGTAGGAGTTTGCTCTTACGTCCTATTAAGCAGTTTAGTCTGGATCTTGCCTGTTTCGTCTTCTTTACTACCCTGTCCACGTGCTTGGTGAAGGTGAGTTTTTGGTCCATTATAACTCCTAGGTACCTGGCTGAGTCGGTCCATGGGATGTCTTGTCCATTCATCGTTACTTCTTCTTCTGGAGGGTGACGTCTCTTCTTGAACAGCACAGACTGTGTCTTCTCTGCGTTGATCTTTATCTTCCATCTTATGCACCATTCTTCTATGTCTTCCGCTGCGTCTTGTAGATATCTTGATATGAGTCCTGGCTGTGTGCTCGTTGTCGATATCGCTGTATCGTCCGCGTAGAGGGACATGGTAGTATATTGGGTTTTGGGGATATCCACCGTGTATATGGAATACAGCAGTGGTGACAATACTGCTCCTTGAGGTACTCCCGCTTCCGGAATTCCTGGTCTAGATAGGACTTGTCCCATCTTGACTCGAAATTGCCTTCCGCCGGGGTACGACCTTGTCATACCTGCTTTGTATCCTTGGTCATTCATCTTGAAAATCAGCCCAGCGTGCCATAGTCGGTTGAATGCCTTGGCGACATCCAAGAATATGGTTCCTGTGGACTGATTTCTGTTGAATCCTCTGGCAATCCCTTCGACGAGTCTCAGTACTTGTAATTCGGTCGAGTGTTCCTCTCTGAACCCGAATTGTTCATCAGGTAGAATGTTTAGGTTTCTGGTTTCTTCTTTTAACCTTCTTAGGATAATTCTCTCCGCAATCTTACTCACAGCTGGGAGCAAGCTAATGGGCCTGTAATTTTGCGGGAATTTGGGGTCCTTTTTTGGTTTCCGTATCATAATCACTTGTTTGGTTTCCGTATCATAATCACCTTTGCTTGTTTCCACAGTCTAGGGAAGTACTGCGTTCTTAAAATCCCGTTAATGATGGCTGTGAGGTAGACTGTGGCTTTCAGCGGGAGGTGCTTAATCGCTCGGATGGAGATTTTGTCCCTGCCGGGGACTTTTTTGGCAAATAGGTGCTCGATAATGCCTCTCACCTCGTCCGGAGATGAAGGCTCAAAATATCCTATATCGGGTTCGTTTTCGCAGTCATCTTCCACTTCTTCCGTGAAGTCAAGGTCTTCGTCCTCGTGTTCGTTGTTCAAACATTGGGACTCCAGGGAAGCAGTGAATGCATCGGCTTTTTCCTCTGCGGTATTTGCCAGTCCGTTTGCTCCATGCAAGGTGGGTACTGGTTTTTGTCGTCTCTTAAGAATTTAAATAAACCAATAAGAATTTTAAACATAGATAAAAGTAATCGATTAAGAAAAAGAAAATCGGGAAATGTAAATGTACTTTAAACTAGAATGAAAATATATAATCATTGGTATTCTATATTATAATCTTCACAGTTTAACAAACCTTAAGGTTAAGGGGAACCTTCATTTTCAATCAATTTTTTCAAAATCTAGGCTTCATCCCCTTATAAAGCTTGATTATTCAGGAAGATTTAGCAGTTAAGATTTTTTACAATATTTCAACCACTCTTATCCCCCACTTTTATTTAGAATTTTTTTTTTCAGAATCAATAGGCTTCATTCCCTTTTTACTGAAAATTTCATGTCGATTTCGCTTTTTTGTTTTCGTTTTTTTTTTAATTTCAACTTCCCTTAAACCACTTATTTTTTATATTTTTTTGGAAACCAAAGGGCCTCTCCTTATATAGTTTGATTTTTGTTGAAATTTCAAGATGTCATTTTTCGTTTTTGAGTTAGGATTTTTTTATATCTTACTCCCCCTTAACCGCTCAATTTATTCAGATTTTTTTGTTTGATTGTTACTAGAAATTTCTTGTTGATATCGCTTTTCGTTTTTTAATTTCAATCCCCCTTAACCCCAATTATCAGATTTTTTTCAAAATCAATAGGCTTTGTTCCCTTATAGAGCTTGATTTTTGCTAAAAATTTCAAGTTAATATTATTTTTCGTTTTTGAGTTATTTTTTTTAAATATTTCAACCCATCCTAACCCCCCATTCTGATTCAGATTTTTTTTCAAAATCAATAGGCTTCGTCTCCTTATAGAGCTTGGTTTGTCCTGAAATTTTCAAGTTGATATCATTTTTCGTTTTGATTCTGACATCGGACGGACGGACGGACGGACCGAAGTAAACCTGTATATAATATTCTTCACAGACTACTCCTTACTCTTCACAGACTACTCCGTTAAGAGTATAATAACTAGTTTTTTTTACTTAATCAGTCTTGTTTTATTTTTATACAATGTATAACGAAGTGTATAAAATTAAATATTTTTCATACTTTCAACTTACCGAACTTACCTGTATGTAAAAAATAAATATAATTTACAAGTCATGTAGTTACGACAAATTAAATATTCTGTATTATTCATTTATCATAAATATGAAAATTTTATAGAAGAGTAACTCAGTATTTTTAAGATGATTTTTAAATTATTAACTTTTATAGTAAGTCCAAAGTTTCAAAATAAATTTCTAATTGCTTCATCAAATGAAGTAGTAATAAGCTATTTTAAATTGGAAGAGGTAAACAGTATAGTCTCTACAGAATTAATTTCAATAGGGTTAATTCTGAAAAGTGCTAATGTATTCTAAAAACCCATATAAAATTTGGAATATTATTTGCCATTAAGAAATATGTTATGCCCACAAATATTTCAGAGTTAATTACTCGTAAATTTGTAATATCGAAAAGGTTAAATTGGATGAAAATTGTTAACAACTGCTATTATGTCAAGTTTATCACAGCTTATTTTAAACTTTATAATAGTTTAGGAAAGGGACAAGGGCAAATGAATAAAATACGTAGTTTAAGCTTTACCAGTAAACCTGTAATATTTTTTATAATTCTCGTACATAACTTTAAATATTTCAGTAGAAGCACTAGACAGCACCCGCATCAAATAAGAAACAGCATGTTGATCACAGATAGTTACCAAACTGTAGATACAGTTGTTTAAATGCATCTGAAAAAGGCAAAAAATTGAATAAAAATCCCCCTACCAATTATTAAGACCATTCTCGAACTCCAAGATTGAAAACAAATACTTGGAGATTTGAAAAAGGCCTGTCGTAACCGTGGATCGAACCCGAACATCCTTGTTTGCTAGACAAGTGCCCTTTCCTCTGGAACATCAACGACATTGATTGTCGAGATTCCTAGAAATAAATTTGATGTGCTAGTTCGGTCCCAACGACGGTCGGACTTGTTTTCAAATACCTCTCTACAGCATCAGTATCCAATTTCACGTCTCTTAACGTATATAGAAAACAACTTCCTCAGATGAAGATATGAGTTTAGTATGCATAAATGCTTTTCTCATATATACCGATGCTATAGAGAGGTATTTGAAGATTTGAGAACGAACCCGATCGTCTTCGAGTTCGAACTAGCACATCAAATTTCTGCCTAGGAATCTCGACGGTTTATGTCGTTGATGGTCTAGAGGAAAGGGCACTTGTCTAGCATACAAGGATGTCGGGGTACGATCCCCGGCTAGGATAGGCTTTTTTAAATCTCCAAGTATTTGTTTTCAACCTTAGGATGTGTACATGCCGAAGATGCCTTGATGACCGATGTTTGATGATCGATGAGTGATTATACATTATTGGTGTACATGTCAAAGATATCTTCCTCGATAAGTGATGATATATGCTTCAAGCAGTGTTGCCAGGTGTACTATAATTTTGGTGTTCTGTACAATGTACGATAAAACCAAAATGTACGATAATTTCACCACATGATTCAAACGTTCTCTTTCGAACAAAATTTTATGCTTTCTTCACAAAATGCATATATCTTTTTGCTCCGTAACCGCAACAACTAAATTAAATGGAAACTAAAATCGGCCAAAGTTATATATAGGAAGAGTGGCATCAGAAAGTGAGTGAGAAGGGCAACATTAGGAGAAGCTTAGAGTAACCCTTGTTGAATATGTTTATGCCGGTGCATCAATTGCCGCCGATGTAGTTCAACTCGTTAATATACGTCATTTCAGCGAGGCAAAGAAAGATAATGCATTGGACTACTATAGTCCAATACAGAGTTAAATCATAATATTTTTAATACTACATTTGTGTTATACTGTTGTCAAAAAGCATCGTAATGAGCGACTCCTTTTTTCAATTGTATTGGGACATAAATTCGTTTCTGTCCAGGCAAAGTATCGTATGCGCCATTTAAGTAATTTTACAGGAAACACAGAAAACTGTTTTTTTTTCGCTTTATGTTTAAAAGATTTTAGAACTTTGGCTATAGAATAAAACGTAAGTGACATAAGGTTACGATATTTTAAGAAGATTATGGTTGATACAAAGTGACAAATGTTGATAATATTGTAGTCTTCAATATTTTATGATTCGTGGGTATATTCGGCGGCGTACTTTTAAATAGAAATTTGATGTTTTATGAGTTTTGTAGCATACGATATTTTTTTGAGTCGATGTCGTTTACGATACTTTGCCTGGACAGGGACGACATAGTGATTTTTTGGAGTATCTTCAAATAGAAGCAGATTTTTCATTGTGATGTCCCTTTAAAATAAATTAACTTATTGTTTAATAATATACGTTATGTTCTATGACGTGTGTTACCGTTACCGGCACCGTACCACCAGAACTAATTTGGAAAGCCAATCGCGTTCAAGATGCCTGTAAATATCGTGGTAAATATCGATGGTGCGGTAATCTTTGGTATGCACACTCTCATTTAAATCTGTATATTTATGTTACATCGATTGACATCTACTTAACTATCGATCATCAATCATCACTCATCGAAGCATCTTCGGCATGTACACACCCTTAGAGTTCGGGGATGGTCTTAATAATTATTCGTAGGGGATTTTTGAGATATATTTCCAAATTTTCAAACTATTCAGCCACTTACTTCAGATATTTCTGGCTTCGGATTTCGATTTACGATTTATTAAATTCACAATTTAAAAATACATTTTTTTATTTACAGAAAGTAAGTCAAAAAAAATTGTTAATTAATGTTACTAAATTAAATGTCATTTAAAAATGATGAATGAGTCAAACTTCTGAATTAATAGTATATTATTAAACGAGCAATTTATGGTAGTCATTATTCACGCAAGGTGACGTTTGCGTCCCGAGCCGTAGGCGAGGGGCGCAAGTCACCCGAGTGAATAATGGCCATAAATTGCGAGTCTAATACTATACTTTGTCCACGACCATTATGGTTTCTTTATTAAATAAAAGTTAAGTGTAGAATGGAAAGTTTTTATTAAACATAGGTAACTAACTGTTGTTTTTTCCACTTTTCAATTTTTCGATTTTTGATTTTCGATTTTTCGATTTATCGAATTTTTGATTTTTCGATCTAGAAAATATCGTTATGAAAAGTATCGCCTATCTTTAGTTATCTACCGGAATGTGCCAGAATTACAAAAGCGTGAATTATCATAATTCACTCCGTGATATATGGGTACTATATGCTCTTAGTTAGGAGGTAGAATATTGATTTATTATTAAGTGGTCGTGGACAAAATTGTTCAAGCAAAAAAATATTTTTAGATTTTTTTAAATGAACCCACCAGTTCCATCAATCACAGCAAACACTGAAATATTTATACAACTTAATAAATCGTAACTAACATTTGTTTTAGCTATCAAAATATTTAATAATCTTTTGATGAGAAGAAAAATTAGAAATAAAAATAAATTACTTTGCATCACGCACTTGCTGATTTACTAGATATTAATTAGGAATTATTGCTTTTAAAATATTGTTCACATCTTGAATTTGTCTAATAATTATTTTGAAGAATCAATTTCAATTCACTTAAAGATGATTAATATCCATTAAACTACTACTGAAATTACAGATCTTTTCCATAAAATATGAATTATCACCGACTCAAAATATTAATTGCTTGAAGACTATATTAAAATTTTTAATTTCTTAAACATTTCGAATATTAATTAATTTATTTTTGTTGAGAGACAATATGGGTTTCATAAATATAATAGTAGTAATCCACTCGAGTTGTACAGTATACAGGGTTTAACAAAAATATGTACAGTAAATTTAACCACAGTTTCTGGGGTCAAAAATAAGTCAATTCCAGCTAACTTGATTAACACCCTAAAAATGAAATTTTAAAAGTGATTTTGTGCTCGTACCCTAAAACAGCTTAACATATTATTAGTCCCCAACAGATATTCGACCCCGGTCTTTTCGCGTTGAAGGCAAGCGCTCTGTCCTCGCTGCCACGGCCACTTTTAACATTTTGATTTAATACTCGTAATTAAAATAGTTTCATATAGTTTGATTAAAATTTAATTTTTTTTTTAAATATGGGCCAAATAAAAATGCTATTCTTTATCGATTCTACACAAAAATAACTCATTTTATTATATATTTAATCTCAATAACTAAAAAATATAGGTACTGACAATTAGTTTGACAGGATGATCACTTATTTGAAATTTTAAAAATAATAGAAGTTTCGTGTTCAAAATATGAACTGTGATTGGTGGATTTCATTTTTTTTGCAGTATTCTTACACTACCTAGAATGTATATGAAATATATTCCTTCAGTTATTTGAAATTTTAAAAATAATTGTAGTTTCGTGTTCAAAATATGAACTGTGATTGGTGGATTTCATTTTTTTTGCAGTATTCTTACACTACCTAGAATGGATATGAAATATATTCGTTCAGTTATTTGAAAAGTTTAAAAATAATTGTAGTTTTTCGTGTTCAAAATATGAACTGTAATCGGTGGATTTCATTTTTTTTTAAGTATTCTCACATTACCTAGAATGAATATGAAATATATTCGTTCAGTTGAATGGCAATGACATACTTTTTCGTTATGTAGTCTGTGCGTAGATAAGCTAATATCCATGGGGTGTAGAAAAAATAATTAAGGTACCGTTGGATTAATTTAAATTATTTTCGTTATCGAATATTATTTGTAAAGTTCTTGTGTTGTATATGGATATGCAGCCATTTAGCTTAGTAATAATGGCGTACCCCTAAGCTTTTTAGTAAATACAAGTGAAGTTGGTATACGTAAATTTGTCAAGTTTTGTTTTTTAATGTTCTGAGTGAGATTTTGCTACTTTTCTTAGATTATCTGATGCGGAATTTTTCAAGCAATCCGATGCGTTAAAAAATGTAAAAAGTTGTTTTTTTGAGGTACCACTTTTTGGCTTAGGAGGGTGGTATATGGGGGTTTATGACGAGGGGTATTTTTATAAAGGGGTACCTACATTTCTAAAAAAAACCAAACAAGATGTTAAACGTAAATTAAAAAAAAAAAAACGTATAAATGGTCATGAAATGGATTTAAGGTATTTTTTAAATAGTACACCTAATATAAAAAAAATGTTAAAATGTTTCTTTAAAGTGAAACAAAATATTCATATTATCCTATTGATCACACTGCTGCCATCTATATAATATTATTACTGTGTTAGTAGTACAACACAATAAACTTCATTTATCAGTTACCTTTGACATTTGTGAGAGTTCGGTTGTCGACTTGCACAAAGTTTATCTTTGATAAACTCCTAACGCACCTAAACTAAGTACTAAAAATTTATGTTAAGAGCAAAATACCTTGAAAATTTATAATTCGTTCTGAGCCTTTATTTTTAGTCCAATAATAACAAAACTTAGGATGGAGAAACCTTGAATTTTTTGTAAACCTAAGAAAAGTACTTATTTTAAATTTTTTTAAAAGGAATTTTAAAAAACATTTACAAGCCATTCTGTATTAAATCTACAAAAAAATGCTTTTTGTTTTAATAAATATCTAGTAGTTTTTAAATGGTACGATTTCCCACCTTTCTTTTTAGTAGCGTGCTGCCTTATCGTTGCACAAATTTAAAGCTCTCTATATTCTCGAGAAACATAATATTGCAAAGTATTTCTAGAGGAGCGCCTATAAATACAATTTTATTTTAGAAAATCCTTGAAACATTTTTGCTTTCGCGAGAGGTCCGGTTTGCTTTTAAAAAATAATAGGTATGACTAGTATTATGTTGTATTTTTTAATTTAGATTGGACAAGACCAGATGTAATTCTTCAAAATCAAAGTCGCCATTTGTCATATTAATTTATTTTTTTTTATATCTGACGCTCGAAGAAAATATAGTGTATGATATTCTGTATAGGAAAAATTTGCATGGTCAGATGAAGGATTTATTTTAGTACAAGCAATGCGTGGGGCATAGTGGCTCAAAGAAAAATTGAAAGAGCTGGGTGGCAGAGTGTATATCGCCTAGATTCGAAATCTGATATTTTCAAATTGCCAATTCGATTATTGAAGCTATGAGTTACGGAGGACTAATTGGTAAGATAGAGAGGAGTAAACTCGAGAATCCATGTTCGATCCCTGGGTTTCACCTTGGGTTTCACCTTGGGGTTGTGATACTATTACTTTTTTATTTTTTGATATTTTTTGAATAAAGTTTTCTTGCGCATTAAAAAATAAAATGCCATTTTTGATTTTCACTGTACAACTCGAGAATAGACCATGTAGATTTATTTCCACCACTATAATGTTCCACAAAATAGTTTTTCTCATTTAATCATCTTAGAATCTATTACGGTTTAGAATATGATAAAAGAAACTGGCCGTATATTAATTTACCAAAATAACTTTTGTCCTACCTTAATATTAGGATAAATCGTAACTTTTTCATACTGCTCCAAAATATCGGCGATTAAATACATAGCAATCCTGGACATGTCTTTCTGGTGAACCGCTAAGCTTTTTGTCAATTTTTCGAGTTGATAAGCACAATCGGCTAGGTCTCGTAGAAAATGTTCATCTATGGGAGTATCAGAATTGCTCTTTTGACATAAACTTCTCAATAACGCCCTGTACTGTTGTAAATAAGGTGGTAATCGGTCCATGATAAGGGATTTTCGATATTTTAATAAATTTGATAATAATGAAATTGCCAAGTTGAAAAATAATTGAAAATCGATGTCTTCTTTCCCGAGTAACATCGTCACATTTAAAATCAGTATGTCTATCATGGGAGGCGTAAGATGAAACTAAAATATAAACAAATATAATATTATGTATACTACAATGGGATTCAAATAACACTATATATTTAATTTGTTCATTATTGATTTCTCAGGAAAAAAGATTGTACTAAAAGTTTTCGCCTTAATAGCCCATAGTAAATTGTATATTAAAATTAGAATAGCGATAACTGTGTCTTTTTATTCAACTGTTGTAGCAACGTTGGAATCGGTGCGGTATCTTCCTGTCTTTTTTTTTTCATCAATCTATTAATAATGAACAAACAATGTTGTATATTTATCCAACGTTACTGCAATCGATGCAACACCAATCCATCAGTTTCAATGTATGATTTTTCTGATTAGATGTGACAACTGACAGCTATGGATTGCGGGAATTAATCAGAATTAAGGAGTTAGTTAATTATTTAATTGTTCTATTATGGAAAAACAGAAGAAATGTGCTTTAAGAAATGTGCTTTTAAAAATACATACTTTCAAATTAAGGTATATAGGTACATTCAAGTAATAGTTATTTATGTACCAAGTCAGCAAAGTGATTCTATATCGAACTAGTCTGAGATTATGAGCGCTAGAGAAGCGAGCGGGGCGAGTAACAGGCGAGTTCGATAAAGACACTTTGCTGACGTGGTCCATACAAACTTTTATCGCCAACCATAAATAATTATAATTAATAAAAAAGGAGATAATATAACACCTCATTTTAGTGTGACAACGTAAAAAAATAACAGCGAATACAAAACAAATCATTTACAGACCATTTCTGTCAGACGGCCACGACTATGTTGATAAATATTAGCGGCAGATAAATTATCTGATTTATACAGTGAAATAAAGTATTTGTTTACTTCGGCAAATCGCTATGGTAATATATGTCTTTATCGACGGTTGGCAATAAAAATATAAACACAAATTTTAATCCTAAATGTCAACTGTTATTTATTTCATCGGTCAACCAGAAATAAACAGAATCCAACACAAGGCGTTCAAAGTCGCATCGGTGAAACGGCGTTTCCAACAAATTGGTGGAAAAAAGATGCAAGATGCGTCGTTAAATACATATTTTTTATCGGCTTGATTAAAAAAAACACTTGAAAAACACAGTCAAATTGTAAAAAAAAATACCTAATGTAATCTTACAACTTACATTTTTAAACGATATAGCAGATGACAGACTAATTATCAATAAACAAACACTATCAAGCCGTTAATAGTAATTTACGTTACAAGACTAGAAAGTAGTGTTTTTCAGGTCGAGATAAGCAGATTCCAGGGCGAGCAGTAGGTGAGACCTGGAACCTTGGAGAGATCTGCTTAACACTATTTTTTTTAAGGCCGACTCTTCGATATAAAGTCAATTATTTATTTTATTTAATAAAGTGATTAACAAATACTAAAACTAGATAATGGATCTGGGATGTCAGATAATTCAAAATTTGAATCCATATTTTTAAATTTGCGAAAACAAGTTTAACATAACAAATTAAAAATCAACGAACTGTCATTTGGCAATAAATCAGAACGTTGTTACCATAGTAACAAAAAAAAAACAGGCTGTATTATCAAACAGCGTTCGGAAAAATTAAATCCAGGGACCGGTAATAGTATATTACGTAACAAGAGTTGTAAGTAACCCATTACGCATGAAGTGAAAAAGTTTACACACGAAGCCGCGCAGCGGCGAGTGCGTAAAATTCACGAGTGCGTAATGGGCGTACAACTCGTGTAACGTACTATACTTTCTCGACACCTACTTAAAACATTCTCAAAAAAAGGATTTAATGTTATGCTTGTGACACCAATCCATAAATTTTCGATAGGTAATTTAGTACCTTTCTTTGAATTGTAGCGGTAACAAATTATGTGTGGCAGCTTGAGCTTTTTCTAAAATCTCCGGTGGAGTGCTCATAATTTCATTACTTTCATTTCTAACAAACATATTCGTAGGTAAAGTTGAGAAAATGTTCAGATACAATCATATTTTGTTACAAAAATTGACAATATAAATGGCATGACGTCTATTTCCACAGCATGCTAAGAAAACGCGACATATTTTTTGAAATATTGTATATGTTGCCGACATTTAGAGGCATCATTCTTTTAATCCAAAATGTATCTCGCTAATGCTAAAAGTTTTTATGTTTTTTAAATGACTAATTTTATGTAAATAGACCAAATAAAGTCGTACGTAGGACAAAAATTTAATTGCAATTTGATTAAACCAAGAAATTTAGGTTTTCTTATCAAAACGCACGTGTGTGTTATGAGATCTTATTACGTGCATGTTATTGTTAAATGTCATTTACAAGGAATGTTGATAGTGCGATTTTTAACGTTTACTGACATGGGCGTAGAAAAAAACTTTACCGGTCCCTAACGTCTACTTTCTGATCTTGGTCGGCAAACCGTTATTTTCTGGATGAAAAATTGTTCAGGAAGTGTATACTTTCTGGTCGGTTTTAAAAAAAAGCTTTTTCCTACGACCACTTAGGAAAGTGACACATATCACACTATATAGTCCTATGGAAAGTGCCCTATATCACACGCGTATGAATAAGAATTTACTTTCCACCCGAGTGAGAATATGTTACTTTCCGCAGTAGTCGTCACAAAATGTCAAACACCTAATTTCTATTTTGATCTATGTAATGTCCATATTAATACTAAAATCGATATGATTGTTAAATTATTGAAATCGTTGTAAATTAGATCCTAGATATTTATCTTTAACAATTATTATTAAAATAATTTTAAAATAATGTTTGCTCTTTATTCTGGTTAAATACATAACCGATTAGATCATTCAATTGACACAAGGGATATTAGCTCAGGTGGTTAGGACGTCGAACTTATCAACTTTGCCATTTTTCGACCGCCTTCGAATCCTGGCGGGACAGAGTTTTTTTTTTATTTTCTTTTAGTTTTTTTTTTTTTGTTTATAAAATATGAAAATTGAATAAATACGATTATTGTTGATTATTTTTTTAAATACATTTTAATTATTATAGTAATAATAACCTTGGTTTTACATTTTTTTGATGACATTATTTTGTGGTCATAGGAAAAATATTGTACATCACTTGTGTGAAAAGTGATTTTCCACACTCGTAATGTAATGTACTATTAGCGGTCCCTAACGTCTACTTTCCGATCTTGATCGGCAAAACGTTATTTTCTGGATGTAAAATTGTTAAAAAAGTGTATATTTTCTGGTCGGTCTAAAAAAAAATGCAATTTACGCTTATGACGCTTGCCTAAATGTCAAATATGATTTTTTTGAGTTCGATTCATGTCCAATTTTTAACGCGTCGAATGTCATCTGTTTTAACCCATTTCATTAGCATGCATTAGGGGAAACATAAGGAAAGTTTTGATAAGGTTCTGTTATTTGGTACCTTGGTGTTTTTTGGATAGCTAAACGAAGATTTTCAGTCTATTAAAAAAAAACTCCAAAACTGCATAATGCGTAGAAGTTGATCTTCTAAGAAATTAAAGAGGATAAAATTTCTTACATTTCATGTATTTTAAGTCAACTTTTTGCCCAACGGTTCAGCCGCGAGAGCGACGCCAAAGAGAGAGTATTAAAAACAAAAATTCGCAAAAAATTTGAGGAGTGGACCAATTGAACGTCATATTTAAATTACCTATTTCTTTTAAATTAAACCAAGAAACAAAAATAGGATTTTGTAGGTGGATAGATCACATAATTATTATAAGTGGAAAGTCAAGTGCTATATTATTTATTATATTCTTCACATAGTAGTTTGTGAAGAGTATTATAGGTTTTTTGTCCACACGCTAAGTCAAAAACGAAAAATGATATCAACTTGAAAATTCCAGGAAAATCAAGCTCTACAAGGTGAAGAAGCCTATTGATTTTGAAAAAAATCTGATAGAAATGGGGGTTAAGGGGGGATGAAATAAAAGAAATTCCTACCTCAAAAACGAAAAATGATAATAACTTGACATTTTTAGCAAAAATCAAGCTTTATAAGGGAAAGAAGACCTTTGATTTTTAAAAAATCTGATTAAAAATGCGGGTTTAAGGGGGGTTGAAATTAAAAAAGTCCTAACTCAAAAACAAACAATAATATCAGCTTGAAATTAAATCGAGCAAATATAAAGGGACAAAGTCTATTATTAAAAAAAGCGAATAAAATGGGGGTCGAGCGGTGTTTTAATAAAAAAATAAATAAATAGAAATCAAAAACCAAAAGCGATATTAACATGAAATGTTTTGTAAAAATGAAGCTCTATAAGAGAATGAATAAATAAATATAAATGGGGATATAAGGGGGGTTGAAATATTGAAAAAATCCAAACGGAAATAAAAACGATATCAAATTGAAATCTTCAGGAAAAATCGAGCTTTATAAGGGAATAAAGCCTATTGATTCTAAAAAAAATCTGATTGAAAATGGGGGTTAAGGGATCTGTTAAACTGTGAAGAGTATAATATAGAATGCCAAGCATTATATATCATTCAGTATTAAATCTATTTTAAAGCAGTTAAATAATTGTTGGTTATTTATTTTATGAGATAAAATTACTTTCTACCTTTAGACATTTTATCTCGTCTTGATTCGAATATAGAGGTTAAATATTGATTTTATATATTAAATTATAAATTAAATTACTGAAGCCCCCTAACTTTGGGGTATCGCATTCAGAAAACGCAAAATGTCGTCTTTGCGAGATTATGTATGCGCACCAACACGATAATTCTAGAACGAAAGATCAGATCGACTTGCGGTCAAATTGATGATTGCTTCCAGCCAAGAACTCTATTGATTTTCAGAATGTTTAGTTTGATGTTAGTGCTTTAATATATCAGCGCTTTTAAAATGTAATAAAAAACTGCTTATCGACTGAGAAGATCAAGGAAACATGATTCAGCTGACATACTGTTTGATGACACAATTATACCAAGACCACTGATTGTGAACACTGCTATGTCCTTGGCTGCATCAAACGATACTTTGGTTGTAGTGGAGGAGGATGTGGACCCCTTGGTGATTTTAGTAGGTATCTGTAAGTTTGAAAATGTTTTTTGCTGAAAACATCATATTCTTACATGCGGTAATTTTTTTCCAGCTACATTTTTCCCTATTGATGTTGTACAGTGATTACTGAAAACGTTCTCTTCTTACATTCAATTACTTGCCTTTTTTAGAGTTGATCGGAAAAACCACCAATTTTATCCTCTTTAATTTCATACAGTCAACGTTCACGTAAAATGCATAGTTTTTCAATTATTTTAAGAAGACTGAAAAAATTCTGTTTTGCTGTATGTTTTTTTTTGCGAAAAAACATATTATTTCCTGAGAACATTTTTGTTGGCAAAATTCGTGTTCAGCAACCCAAAAAAACATAAAGGTACCAAACAACAAAACTTTACTATGTTGCCCCTTTTGGAGTTTTATATGCATGCCTAGACTATTAACAATTTGGACAATCGACGCTCTTAATCTTAGTCTTTCTTAACACTGTAGGACTAATTTAACATTACTTAGTAAACTATTTAATAGTGTTTGTTATTCTTGTAAACATATCTGATTTATTTACTTACGTGGTTTGTTTGTACAAGTAATATTTCAAATTTGAATAAATTTTTATAAAAATTTTTATTGTATTCGGAATTTTCAAGGTGTGCTAAAATATCGCTTAATAGTTTTTGAACCTCTTCTTGCAGATTCTTAGTTTTTATAGGGTTGATATTTGCCGTGAAAATTGATTCCCAGGTTTTCAAAAGGAATCCGAATTCTTCGTAGTTATTTTGCTTAAGTGTGTGTTCCTAAAAATATGATTATATAAATAACTTCATTATCTCGCGGTTTATTTATAATTTATTTTAAAGAGACAATAAGTACTCACGGAAAGAACTGAGAGATCCTTAATAATATGGTTGAACTGATCGTTAGAAATGTAACATATCATCAACAACATTAATTGAGAAAATTCTTCTATTCTACTAAAAACTTTCTTATTAGTTTTGCAAATTTGCCAAATTTTAAGTGGTAGATCTTCATCGAACTCTTTTATTTTTGGTTTATTTTGGAAAACGGTATTAAAAAGAAGTAAATATCCAATTTTATCAAATTCTTCTTCCCTTTCCAAGGCAAAATTAATATAGGAAGTCATGACATTTAACAATTTGGAAATTTGCTGTTCATCATTTTGGGCAAAGAAGGTTTTCAAAACATAGGCGTAAGCGAGTATTAAATGTTCATTTGGTTGATTTTTTAATACCAAGTCACAAATTTTATTACAAATTGTAGATTTGTAATTTTCGGCAACAGTTTTTATTTCTTTGGACATCTTTACTTTTCTTAACTGAAATATTTAAATGTAAATTATGTAATAAATAATCAGAATCAATAGAGCTTAAATAAAGCTGTGCTTTAATTTAAACTATGTTATTATTTCAAAATAATTCAATAACATTATATGTCAAAAAAAAATTTAATGATAAATCCCTTTAAATAAGATCTGAAAAATTACCGATTATTAGTCCACGAACAAAGTAAATATAATATTTCTGGAATTTCTCAAATACTTTTTTCAAAATTATCCCTATGAAATAATTAAAATTATTTTGTAGGGGTAATTATTTGAAATGTTATTTGGAAATTTTCAAAGGTTTAAATATAGAGGAAATTTAATTTGAACATATTTTCATGGTCTTAAAGAATAAATTTCCTTTTTTGAAATATTATTCGTAAGTAGTAATTTGTAATTTTATTGTTGGGGTCAAAATAACTTTATACAGGGTCCCTACTATTTCAAAGGGACAGTAGTATTTCTTAAACGGTAACAGATAGAAAGTTAGTTAAGACAAAAGTTGCGCAGTTTTGTGCTCATTAAAATATTGCCAAGAAACCTTTGATATCTACAGGGAGATTTAAAATATCAGATAAAAAATTAATGAATTTAAAGAAGTGATAATTTTCATTTTTTCAATATTTTGACTTTTCCTATATGTATCAAAGGTTTCTTGGAGAGATAACAGGAGATGTAACAACTAACAAATATCGTGCGGTCCTGAACAAAACATATTCTAAGGGACACCGGAGGGTATAATATCCGCTATTGTCATATGCCTATTTCATTATTCTCGTTTTGTTTAGAAAATTATTTACATATATTAAAAAAGCTAAAATAATTCAACCTACTTTAATGCAACTGAACCCAAAAAATTTTGAATCATTAGTCATCAAATTTAACTAAATTAGATGTAATTTCACTAAATTAGATGTAATAATTTTCTCTCTTACTTCTCATCTTACGTCTCCTCGCCCCGTCCGTACAAATACAGTGTATTGATTGTCGAATTAATCTTGGCATCGTGAATATTATATTTAGTAATGACTGGCTATATCTCTGTTATCTCTGGTTTCTTGTCACCAGTTTAATGAGCACAAAACTGCTCAACTTTTATCTAATTTGACGAACTTTCTGTTTAAGAAATAGCAATACCGTCCATATGAAATAGTAGGCTATAATATACTATTTATACATTGTATTTCCGAACTAAAAGAACATACTCACACAAGAGCTGTCTTCTGTCAAATAAGGTAATAAACCCATGTCAAATATACCCTTTTCAATATACCAGGTGACATTATCATCCTTTATTTCATTTATTTATTTGTCTTCAATGTGAATTCGACTGTCTTTTCTTCTCTTTCTACTGTTGTAGATTACTATAATTAACGAATTTTGAATTGGACATTTGAGTAAAGGGGCGAGACTATTTACTTTTTATGGTAAGCATAAGACATTGCAATATTGATAGAATTATTTTTCTATTTTTACTGTATGTTAAAGATTCCTTATTTATGCTTATGCCTAAAAAGAGATTTAGAACAAAACCAGTCGTAGAATGATAATTTTCTTAATGTCTAGTCAGAGTTGGTCCTGTGTCGAGAAAGTTTGTGGCTATTGGGCGTTGATGTATTAATTAAATAAATATAACGCATATAATTCAATTTATTAAAGGGCATGTACTCCTGGAAGTAATTATGGTTTATATTACCGCTAAATGCATTCCCATAGGATGTGCGCTGAGTTTGCTGGATGATATGGTGAAAGTATCTGATTAAAAAGAGTTGACACCTTCCATAAATGTATATGAAATAGTATTCCTTTTAAAATTATTTATTACATTTTAACAGATTATTTAAAAATCAAAAACGAAAAATGATATGAACCTATAATTTTCAGGAAAAATCTGATTAAAAATGGAGGGGTTAAGGGGGGATTGAAACTTAAAAAAAAAACGAAAAACAATATCAACTTGAAATTTTCAGGAAAAATCAAGCTCTACACTGAAACGAAGCCTATTTATTTAAAAAAAAAAACTGAATAAAAATGGGAGGGTAAAGGAGGTTAAAATTTAAAAAAAATTCGTAAATCCAAAACGAAAAACTATATAAACTTGAAATATTCAGGAAAAATCTAGCTCTGCAATGGGACGAAGCCTATTGATTAATTGAAAAATCTGATTAAAAATGGGGGAACAATGGGGTTAAAATTAAAAAAAAAATATCACAAATCAAAAACAGAAAATATCAACTTGAAATGTTTAGGAAAAATCAAGCTCTGCAATGGGACGAAGCATATTGATTTAAAAAAATCTTATTAAAAATGGAGAGGTTAAGGGGGCTAGGTTGAAACTTGGGTGGTTTAATGGGGGTTTAAAATTTAATAAAATCATAAATTAAAAACGAAAAACTATCAACTTGAAATTTTTAGGAAAAATCAAGTGATGGGAACGAAGCCTATATTAATTTTTAAAAAAATCTGATTAAAAACGGGGGGTTAAAAGGGGGTTTGTTCAACTGTGAAGAGTATCATATAGAATTCCAAGCATTATATATCTTCATTCTAGTTATTGTTTAAAGTTGATGATAAAATTTCATACACTAAATCCGAATGTTCTGCAAAATATAGAAAACCCAACATTTACAATGGCACATTTTTGTAATTAGTATAGTGAATGCAAAAAAGTAGGAAATCCCAGAGCACGCCACTGGTATAAATAAAAATTATATTTTAACTTAGAAGTGACGCTTTAACTATTTAATAACGGTTTAAAAACTTCACGACCCAATTACTATTTTTTATTTTAACACCCTTTAGGTATAGTTCAAAACGGTACATTTTTAGGCATTGCTTTATTCTCTAACTTGACGTAGCAGTTTGTTTCTTAGTTTTCGTACACCTTGTATAAACATTTTTTATATTTAATAGTAGATGGTTATTGCTATATTTATAAATAAAAAATCTGTACAATTTTTAAAAGAAACATAATTTCTTGTAAGATTTAAATACTCTCACGTTTGATTCTTGACCTGTTTGCGTTATACCTACCGAAAATAGCCTAAGGTAACTAAATATTCTAAGTAAGTACACAAACCTTATTAACAGTATTTATAATTATGATACCGCATTGCATGTACATTGGATTGTGTAACTTGTCGACAATATGCAAAATAAGTGACTCATAATCAACTATGGAATCTTTATTTTTGAAGATATTGTCAATAATTAGTATAAAGACTTCCTTCCATTCATCATAATCACTGAGAACTTCCTGGAATAGTGATTTGATATTAAAAATATCGGTTAATCTATATTTATATTGCTGCAACACACCTAAAAATATGTACATTTATTACTAAAAGAAAATGATGGTTTAAAATATTTCTGATTTTGGAGACCTTGAAGAAGCTATATGGTAAATACAAATGGATCTAATTTACAATATCCCATTAACTTCTATTGTAAATCTATGTATTTATAATAAAATTAATGATTTTTATAATTTTCCAGTCATATTTAAATGTTTCTATATCTCAAAATCTCTGATACCCTATTGGAACCAAATGTATACATAAAGAGACAATGGGTGCGACGGAAAAACAAATAGATCATATTGGCGTGTAGGGAAAATCCTTTGAAAATATCCACAACGTGGAAAGTTGAAGAGGAGCGAACGCAATAATTCTCGTACCCATATTGAAGAAAGGAAACGCAATAAAGCTCGAGAATTGCAGATGTATTGTCCTACTGCATGTCGTGAGTCGTGTAGAAAGTAATTGCGAAAATACTTAAAAATAGATTAAAGGAAGCAGAAGATATTCAGGTGACAGAGTACCAAAGTGCTTTCAGAGGAAGATCAATAAAAGTGACCAAATTTTTGCCATAAGACAAATAATACTAGTTAATATTATTTATGGGCACAATTTGGAAATTCATTCAATATTCATAGATTTTCGACAGGCGTACGATAAACTGGACGCAGATGCGATACACAGTAATATGAGAAGATTATGAATAGCGCCAAATCTGAGAAAACTATATAGCAAAGTTAACAATGATCATTATCTCTAACTTGGTTAGTATTGACGGCCAACAATTAGAAACGTTTAAAATGAAAAAAGGAGTGAGTACGACAAGGTGATCTCCTATCAACGCCGATGTTCAGCGAAAATACTTAAAAATAGATTAAAGGAAGCAGAAGATATTCCGGTGACACAGAGTACCAAAGTGTTTTCAGAGGAAGATCAATAAAAGTGACCAAATTTTTGCCATAAGACAAATAATACTAGCTAATATTATTTATGAGCACAATCAGTAAATTCATTCAATATTCACAGATTTTCGACAGGCGTACGATAAACTGGATGCAGATGCGATATACAGTAATATGAGAAGATTGTGAATAGCGCCAAATCTGAGAAGACTATATATCAAAGTTAACAATGATCAATATCTCTTACTTGGTTAGTATTGACGGCCAACAATTAGAAACGTTTAAAATGAAAAAAGGAGCGAGTACACCAGAAACAATTATTTCACTGGAAGGAACATGCTCATCTATACAGATAGCAGACAAGCACTACTCTCCCTGAACAGACCACGAATTTATTCAGGGTTAGTTCTAGAATGTCACGAAGCTTTGGCCGAAGTATCCATCAACAACGTGGTCACCTTAAGATGGATTAAAGGTCACGCCACATCGAAAGGTAACCGTCTTGCTGATTCACTAGCCAAGAAAGCAGCCAACCAAATACTTTTTGGACCTGGCCTTTCTATTGGCCTGACAAAATCGGTAGTGACAGACCTAATCAAAGAACATTCCCTTGTGAAATTCAAGGAAAGATGGGATGAAACAAGAAACTGCAGAGTTGCCAGGGAGCTCTTAAGTTATCCTGACAACACTACAGCAAACAGATACTTGACTATGACTAGACAGAATCTGCGCCTAGTCACGGGCATTCTGACTGGTCATTGCCAAGTACGAAAGCATCTTCATATCATGGGGCTGACAGAATCCGCACTCTGCAGAGGGTGCGAACAAGAAGATGAGACCGTCGAGCATATCCTTTACGATTGCTAGAGGCTCTCATTTATTAGAAGATTTGTGTTCGGCGAGTATCGGCTAACACCGGCCGATATAAGAGAAGCACCTCTTGGCGACGTTGTCAACTACATTAAATCTGTAGGCTAGTTCACGAGCTAGGAGGTGCATATCTTCTCAGGAGGATGCACAATGGGGGCCTAATGAGGCCTAAGTGCAGTGGGTAACCCTCCATACATTACAGATACAAAAAGGAGTGAGTACGACAAGGTGATCCCCTATCAACGCCTATGTTCAGTTTTGTTCTGGATATTATATTACGAGAGAGTCACGTAAACAGAGTAGGAACCATATACACTGGGCACGTAGATGTTGGAACAAATTCAATAAAAAGTTTATTGGTCAACTAAAAAATTAATGCTTGGAAAGGTTAATTGGCACTACCATTTTTGATAGTGCATACCATTTAAAAGAGTATTTTTTTGGCATACGGACAACAAACGTTATTGTTTGTTACATAATATTATCTAAATAAGTTTTAGTATTCAACAATGTAATGAAATAAACTTAGAATTAATAAAAAAATCCAAAACAACAAAATCATGCCAATTGCAAGTTTCTCATCTCTTGATAATATGCTAGTCGATTCTAAAATTATTGCAAAATGTTTTTAAAACTTTTTTATCTCAAGCACAAACTTGTTATCTATACGCAAAACAGTATCTTTTAAAAATAGTGGTGCCATTTAAAAAAAAAATGGCGATGACTTCATAATTCAAAAAGTGATGACGTCAGAAAAAATATACGTATAATAAAATATTCGCAACTAAAAAACAAAATTTACCTGTCAGAGCATTATTTTTTTATTTGAACAATAAAAGGGTAATTACCACCCCCCCCCCCTCGAGCTGCTCGAAGAAATACTGAAATTTATTAAATTGTAACTTCGAAATTTAATGAGAAAGCAAAAAAAACAAGATGGCGGGACGAATATTTGCGGGACGAGCAGAGCGAGGTCCGGCAACATGAACGAGTTATCCAAAACGGCATTTCGTAACGTGTTATATAAAATATTTCTTCTAATTTTGACTAGATTATTTATAAAATTTTGTTTTGGTAAATTATTACTGACATCTATGCAACCAATATTACTTTCTAGTATTGTTAGTTGCATATGCATAACTTCATTTCTTTTATTCAAAAATAGAAAAGCATTAATTTATTCTCAACGATATTGCTTGTTAAGGTTGTTTAGTTTTCAAGAAAGTGGGTTATTTTGTCATGTATTGTGTTTTAATTATTTTGTGCTGATTTAGAATGGAAAATAATTATTACTATGTTGTAAGTTTAATCAAATTCTATTTTTATATAGTCAACCTTACCTTTTTTTATATAAATTTTCAATATTAATGTAAATATTGACTTTCAAACCACATAGGATTAATTTTTATTTGTTTTCTTTTCGTAACTGGTGACATAATGATTTTTTTCACACAAAGTGACATTTTTTGTAATCGCAGCAAGTGTTAAAATAATCTACTTTAATGTTGAACATTATGAAACTGGTTACGAAAAATTCATGGCGAAAAGAAAACAAATAAAAATAAACCTTTTTTGGTCATTGGCATCAGGTTTCTGCGCAGTATATAATTGGGAGTCTTAATAATCTACTGCGCAGAATCCTGATGGCAATGACCGGTTTCTGATCGTTGTTGGAACAAACCTATAATATACATTATTATTGAAAATTTATATCAGAGAAGAACATGTAGATTTATAATAATAGGATTTGTTTAAACTTGCAACCTAGTAATAATGTTGTTTTGGTCCTTATTTTCCATTCTAAATCAGCCCAAAAAAAGTCAAACACAATACACGACAAAATAACCCACTTTTTAAAAAGGAAATAACTTTAATAAGTTATATAAACGCACTACATGTCATTGAGAATAAATAACTAATACGAATTTTTATTTCTCAATAAAGTGATGCATATGCAACTAACAATAAAAGAAAGTAATATTGGTTGCCTAGATGTCAATAATGTTTTATCAAAACACAATTCTATAAATAATAATCTAGGCAAAATTAGAAAAAATATTGTATGTAACACGTTACGAAATGTCGTTTTATGTAACTCGTTACACAAAATAAGGAATTCCGTAACTGGTTGCACAAATAGCTATTTCGTTACCAGTTTCATAAAGTTCAATATTATACTTTATTTATCAAAATTAGAAAAAAATATTGGTAAAGTCTGTTAGACGGAAAAGTTTGTAGTAAGAAAAATGTCAATAGAGAATCATACTTAGGTCCTAACATTAACAATAGAAATGAAAAACTAAAGAAATGAGCGAAATCCTGGCGAAAAGAACCAGGATGCTGAGGCGCTACTGTTAAGAAAAAATTAAATAAGGAGAAAAACTAAAAAATAATATATCTATCCAAACTGTTATAAGAAGATTTGTGGTATTATAGGGTTCAGAATTATGTAGTATTGGAGAAACAGCTAGAATTATGGGAAATAAAGTTATTGAGACGAATATATGGAGAGAAAAAGGTAGATCAGTGGGTGATATATGAATTGTATGAGAGTCCTACGATAGAGTAGTAATAAAATCCCAAAGAATAAAATGGCTATGTCATATATCAAGGTTATCAGAGGACATAATTTCAAAAAAAGCACTGCAGAAAGAAACTATTGGGAAAACAGAAAAAGGAAATACATAGAGACGGTGGAAACGACTTACAGACTCTAGATATGCGAAATTGGAAAGAGGAAGTGAGAGACAAGAATAAGTGGAGAAAAATTGCCTCTCAAAAACACAATATATCAAAACTGGTAGTTAGAATTTATTTTTCAAATAAAAAAATAAATGTTAAGTAACATTTCGAAAATTCAGTTAGATGTGGTGAAAGGTGATGACGTATTTTTTGTAAATGTGAATTCCAATTTATTCAAAAACTGAGGAAATTGCAAGGGTAAAAATTAGTATTTAGAAACTTCTTAAAAAGGAGACAACCTTTGTCATTTTCAACACGGGGTATGTCAATTTTTATTTAAGGATTTCTTAATCTTAAAAATAGAAAATATGCACTAATGGCAGAAATATATATTTAAACAAATAAGTACTTGTTCAGCCATTTTATGGATTATTAGGGATAAGGATGACTAGAGGGGTATACCTAATATTTTAAAAACCACAGGACGTGCAAATTTTGAGACTCCTTTAAAATTAAAGAACCCCATGTTTTACTTCTATTAAAGGAGCTACTTATATTTGAAAACCATAATCTATTGCCATAAACTTATAATTGAATAATGTAAATAATGTAAACAAGGTGAGTGAAGCTACAGATAAAAAAACTAGTAGATTAATAAATTAAAATATATATACTTACCTATAATTAAATATTCAATATGCATTTGCAAGTTTTTGTAATTCCCTTTTGCAAATTCTGAATTTAGATCCTTGTGTAACGAAAAAATATATAAAATGAAGAATTTTTGAACAAATTCCGGACAAAAAATTACTGGAAATTTTTTAAAAACTTCAATGAGTTCTAAAACTTTATTTTCATTGAATTTAAGAATGATATCTGAATTTATTTTGTTACTAGATTCATATAGTTTTGTAATTTTGTTAATACAGTTAATTTGTTCATCTTCATTATAAAACTGATTTAATGTCATCACATTACAAATGTTTGTACTAATTTTACTAATAACTGTGGAGTCATCCTCAAATTTTCTTTTTCTTTTAGATAATATTTTATCACATTTTATAATTGTGCAATAAATGACTGCATTTAAAATGGAAGTGTTATTAAAAATATGCAGATTTTTATTCAAGTTTTCAAAATCCTTCATACCAACTACAAATTTTTCAGCTATAAAGTTTTTTGAACTTGGATCCAATGTTGGTATTAAAATGTTTGTCAACAATTTATTTTGGAGTATATCCTTCCAGCTATTTTCTAAATCGGATGTCAAATATCTGGATAAATCCACTAAGATTTCATCATTTATTTTTTGTTCAAAAATGCTTAAGGCTCGAACTTTTTGTATAAATAATTTATGCTAGAAAGAATTAAATTGTTGTAAGTTGTTTATTCTATGTTTATTATGTTTTACCAATAAATGTTTGCAAGCAATTTCTCCAAAATTATTTATTCTTTCTGATATTAGACACCATTCTTCAACACTCAAATATGGATGTAAATATGTTATATTACAAGCTGAAAAATTGTTCTCAAGTGTTTTTTTTTGAACATCATCCTGGTTGACTGAATAGTATTTTAAAACAATACCCACTTCTGCCCAATAGTTAGCTATGTTTAAGAAAGACCTCATGAGACTACAATTCTGAAATTAAAAAAATGTATTAAATCTCATTTTCATTTATTTCTATAATACCTACATGTTTCCTATTTAAAATCTGTTTTCCAAATGTATGTAACAAGTCTTCTAACTCTTTAAGGCATTTTTTAGTTTTTTCAACTACATTGGCAGCAACAGTGTGCTCTGCTACTCGTATACTTGATAAAAACACTCCAATCAGCTCACTCAAAAATTCTAAATGAAGAGAATGAGCATCTGTATCTAAAATTATTAACCTTTTTAAAAATAAGGAAACAAATTTATTTTAAGATCTTAAAAGATAGTGACAAAAATGTAACAAAAATTCTCCTTCGATTTGATATTAAAATATATTTGTGCATCTGTATGGAGATAAAATATTGCTCAATTTTTGACCAAATATCTTAAAAATATGTATCAATCTTAAAAATAATGGATAAAAACATATCTTACCACTTTCTACTTCTTTACTTTTATTTTCTAGTAATCTTCTGAATGCAAATATAAAAGTTTTAAACACATTAATTACTTGCCAGCTTGCCAAACTTTGAATATTTCTTGAGAAAGATTGTAAAATTTTCATAGTTAAAACATTTTCCATTTTCAGATCTTGTAAATCAACTACCCTCTCAGCACTATCAAAATAGTTATTTAATACAACCACTAGTTTTGAAACAAAATTTTCAGTTCTATGCAATTTTGAAAATACTTCAAGAATTATTAACATTAATTCTTCATATTCTTCTTCATGATCAGTTTTATTTGACAATAAAGAATAATTTAAAATATGTTCAGTAAGTACTTGTGATATAGTAGGATCTAACAAAATTATTTTCTTAACTATTTGATAATTAGTTTTCGATTGTTTATGGATTATAATAGATTCAATTAAGATAGTTTTTAACAATTCCGTCACATTAATTTCATTAATTTTGCAATTTGTTTCAAGTTTAGTTTCTTCCAGAATTCCTAGTAATTCTAGTAAAATCTTATATGACTTTTTAGTGTGTTGTATTTCAGATGAATTATGTATTAAACTATTGTTCAAAGGTATTAGTTCATACTTAAATCCAACTGTGTGAATTAAAATAAGAAAAAACTTATAGATCAATAAAGAATCACTTTCATAACAAACTGTACAACCATGAAAGGCAAGCTTGAAGTAAAACTCCACTGATTTTTTATTCAATTGAAAGGTGTTGGATAAATATTTTAATAATATTTGTAATTCACACTGATCTGGATCATCACTTCCAAAAATTTTATTTATAAAATTGCCAAAGTTTCTGTGGTTATTATAAAATATACACTAAAAAATTAGAAATATATTAGAAAATGTTCAAATGTTTTATAATGAAATACTTACTTTCTGAACTACTCTTGATATTTGAAGAAACACATTTCTGTTATCAAACTTTACTGCAATTTTAACGAGGGTTGGAAATATAATATTTACAAAATGTTCCATAAAATCATGTGCATTCAATAAACTTTTATAAAACAAGTGTGAGTTTATAAAATCTATTATCTGGTTAGAACATTCAATCCTTAGCAAAGTACAGTTAATCAATTTTAAATAAACTTCTAAGTCAATCTTAAAATATTGCTCAAATGTTCTATTTCGCAAAATAATAGTTACAATATTACAAACTATGCTTGTAATACTTATGTCTTCATTTTCTGAATTTATTTTTATAATTATCATCTAAAAAATTATTTTAATTAATAAAATACTGTGTTAAAAAATATAACTTACTTCAACAATAGCCTTCACGTCTTTACTACTGATCTCATTTCTGGTAATCTCTTTAAAACTATTAGAGTTCAACCAATTTTGAAGAGTTATCCAAATTTCTACGCTTTCATCAGTTTTACTTAAAATCCATTTCAAAAGAATAATTTTACATTCTACGGGTAATTCAGACGATTTGAAAAAGTTTGTAGCATATTGTAATTTTTTTGTAAACGTTTCCTTCTCACTGTTTAACTGGATTAATAGTTCTGTAATGAGTTAATATATAAGTTATATATTCCACATAAACAATATTTTATATTACCATCCTCAAGACTCATTTTGACGATATACAAAATATTTTTTAAAGTTACAACATTCCAAACATTCTAAAAATGTAAAATAATTTTATTTATTTTGAAATTCAAAACCATAACCTAAAATTAAAAGCATGCCCCAGAGAACCACAGAACCCTTAATCCTGCAGAGCTGAGAAATTTCTCACAACTCACAAAACACTCACTTGCTGTCACTGTCATTGGCTGGCTAAGCGAAGCGAACACAACTTTACAGGGAACACACGGTACGTTTAGAGTCAAAAGTGTCGTGCACTGACACCGTGACTGAAACTCGGACTTAAATAAACGATCACAGGCTCTAGGGTTTTTATATTTATAACTAATGTCATTTTAATTAAAGTTTTGACAAACGACAACCGAAATCTTTCTTTTCTGTCGTTTCGTTAAAAATGGCACCGACGTAAGTTTTATAATTTTATTAAATCAATTTTCATCCTATTATCCTGATTCATAATTTGTGTAAATAATAATTTTCAATAATTTATATCTAGTGCAGTGTTTTTTTAAAAGGATATTTTTTTTGTTAACACAGAATTTAAGTTTCTTAACCTATGTTTCCATCCTACTTTGCATGTTGATACCCATTTGTATTTCATTATTTTAATTTTTAGAGCGGATAAGGCTAAAACTGACAAAAAAACTAAGACCGTAAAGGGACTGCCTGCAGTTCCTGAATCTGTCTTAAAACACCGCAAAAGACGTGAAGCCTCTAGGGCTAAAAGGCTTCAATCCATTGTAAAGAAGAAGTCTGAACAAATCAAAAAGAGAAAAGATATTTTCAAAAGAGCAGAACAGTATGTTAAGGAATACAGATTAAAAGAACGAGATGAAATAAGGTTAATTCGTCAAGCTAAAAATAAGGGTAATTTCTATGTACCTGGAGAGGCTAAATTGGCTTTCGTTATCCGTATTAAGGGGTAAGTTTTTCAGTTATATTAAGTTTGAGTTGTCGCAGTTAGAAAAGTTATTGGTAATCTAGTAGTTTATGTGCGTAATAGCATATGTCTACCTCATTGCTATAATTTGCATTCTTGTTTTGCCGTTTATTTTAATATTGAGGGCAAAGGAAATCTATTTCACAAAAAAAAAAAACAAAATAATCTAAACTTAAAAAATATTTTTATTCATCTGTAAACATTTTTCTTGCCCTCAAAATATATATTTGACTGTTCCTGGAAACTCAAATTTACCTTTTCCTAGATTTAAAAAATTACATTACCCTGGCAACTATGTAATGATTCAGATAATCAGAACAAGTCAGCATGTTGCATATATGTGCATTAATAACCACCTAAACTATAAGATTACTAGTACGGTATGCTTTAGGTACTAAAAAGTAATGATTTGATGTACCTATATGGTAATATAAAAAAAAATGTTGCTAACCTATTTTCTGAGAAAAATTGAATCAAAGTTAAAAGATTTTGTTGTTTCTAACCTAAAATCTAAGTTTTTATGATTTCCATGACATGTTGCCAAGATATGTCTAACTAATTTACCTAAAATGTACAGCATAAAACCTTTGTAAGTTTCTTCACGGGGGTGTTGTAATCCTAAACATAACCAACTAATTTACATAATCGACAAAATATATGAATATTTTTATTAGAAAAAATTATACCTACATATCAAACTAATTCACCTATAACATGTATGGCTTAGAGCATTTTCTATTTCTACTTATATTACAGAAATATAAATAAATGGTTTTTTAGAAATTGATATCTTGTGATTTCTGATTTATTGCAAAATATTTATACATAAAAGGAGAAAAATTAAAAAAACTTAACTAATTTACCTAACCTGTGCAAAACTAATTACTGGCCTATATCGCTGTTAAGCACCTTCTTATATTTTTTGAAAAATTGGTGTTCAATAGGGTGCTCACAATTTTAGTAAAATTCAATATTATATCCTAGTGTCAACATGGCTTTCTTAAGGAGAAATCCACAAAGTTGGCAACATGCAATCTACTAGAGTATATTTATCATGGAAATCTGGTTGCAGGAATATTTTTTGATTTATTGAGGGCATTTTCTAGATTTAAGATTCATTGAAAGCAAATTATATAATCTCAGTTTTAGGGGAATCTTTTTGAACTGGTTCATTGATTTTTTATCACATAGGGCAATGTTAAAATTCAAGATTCAATGTCCGATTGTCATGAAGTTAACCGAGTCCCCCTGGGGTCTGTGCTAGGATCACTGATATTTCTGCTGTTTATCAATGATTTGCCACAGTATTTGAACTCGACTCTATGTAGCTTAAGTCTATTTGCAGATGACACCCTTTAGCTGTTGCAGCATGAAACCCATGATGAACTGAAATTGCTTGCTGAAGAACTTATAAGACTGCTTTGTTAACTAGTGCAAATCAAATGGTCTAATAGTCAATAGGGACGAAACAAATCTAGTATTTTTTCAGCCTGAATTTGAATTCTACCAAATACCAACCACAATTTAATGTGGACGGAAGTTTGATAACTATTTCAACTTTTACAAAATTCCTGGGTATCTATGTGGACCAGCGTCTTAACTGGTTGGAACATATAACCACTCTCTGTAAATTGCAAGCATACCTTGTAGTGCATTATTAAACGTATACTACAGTCTAGTATTCAGTCATCTTAGCTACAATGTTACTCTCTGGGGTAAACAAAGATGGGCTTTTTATAAACCAAGAGAAAATAATTCGTAAAATATTTAACATACTACTGTGAGTCCTGCAGAGACGTCTTTATTGATAAGATAATTTTGACATTTCCTTGTATATACATTTTAAAATGCTTATTGTTTATTAAAAATAACTTAAATGCATGTTGTAAACTATCCTTTTTTCATAATTACAAACTAGTAATTCAAATCTCTTGGCGATTTCACAACATGCAACATCCAAGTTTGAAAATTCTCCTAAAACTTTACAACCACCTTCCTAATCATTTTAAAAACATGAGTTTAAACAAATTTAAAAGATCTGTCTAGCATTTATCATTAGAAAAGGGTTAAAGTTGTTCCTTGTTTCTGTAATTTTAACTCTTTATTTGTCTATATTTGTCAATGTTGTCTTTTGTATCTTTTTGTCTTATATTGTGTTAAATGTTTGTCCTATACATTTTTTTATGTCTTAAAGAATTTGTTGTCCTATACCTAATATTATTCTGCATAAAATAAAAAACTAAAATTATACCTAACATGTGCAGCCTGGAGCTGTGCAAATATATTTTTGTGTTGTCCTCCACCTACATGCAGGAGGAGGAACTCAGCTGTCGAAATAACAGCTAGAAACACAGGAAGGATTATTATTGCAGATAATACAATTTCTTATGTGATCCAAATATATTACCTTCTTCTACTTCAAACACTATTTTTAAACACCAACTTGAACATTATTAGACAGTAAATAAACTCGCGGACTGTTGTATGTGTCGCCAGAATATGGAAGGACATTAATTGTTAAAAGTTGGTTAAACAAATGAAACATAGTTTCCCACATCCAATTTCAATTAAAATATGTAAAGTAAGCTACCGCCGCTGATAATATAGGATGAAATCTATGTAACCTATAAAATTGCAACTTTTTCTCTAAACATAGCCAGTTGTCCACAATTTAGAAACTTACTATTTGGAATAGGTACTTTTTAGTTGTACCAATTTTTTTTTTGTTTTTTTTTCTCAAAATTCTGATGTACCTAAAACAAAACGTACCAGAGCCTGAAAATACAAATTAATTGAAAAGATTTCAAACCTACATCTGCACTAGTTTGAATTGTTAATTTATAAATAGAATAGAATAATCTCATTTTTTTAATAAACCACTGCAATTCAGAATGTCTTGATAGCTCAGTTAGTAAGGCAACATGTGCAGAATGAGAATGGGGAAGGTTTGAATCCTTCCCAGGACTAGTTTTTTTTTTTTTTTTTTTTTTTTTTCATTTTTTTGAATAAACGTGTTTTCACCTCAAAAATATTTTGTAAGTTTTCCATAATTTTGTAGAGGTAATTATTTATTATACAAATTATTTTTTTTTATTAAATATTTCAGACAGATTCATAGTGGTAGTTGTTAAAACTTAAATTATCATTTTCCATGCTGTCTAAAATAAATGTAGTTTGTTCTAGTTGTGGTTTAATATCTTTTACATTTATTAAATTATATGGATGCAGACTTACAAAAATAATTAATGATTGCTAGACAAACAAGTTGGTGAATTTATGAATTATTATACCTACTTATAAGTAAAAATGTGTTTTTTTAAAGATTTTTATTTGATAACAATGTATAAGTGTAGCAGTTTATAATGTACTCTTCTTTTTCAGTATCAATAAAGTAGCACCAAAAGTACGTAAAGTTCTTCAACTTTTCCGTCTACTTCAGATCAACAATGGAGTTTTTGTAAAACTCAACAAAGCTACCATTAACATGCTTAGAATATGTGAACCTTACATTACATGGGGTTACCCCAATTTGAAATCTGTTAGGGAATTAATTTACAAGAGAGGTTTTGCTAAAGTGAATGGACAAAGAGTATCAATCACTAGCAATCAGATCATTGAAGACAGATTAGGAAAATCTGGCATTATCTGTATTGAAGATTTGATTCATGAACTGTTCACTGTTGGATCCAGGTTCAAATATGCCTCCAACTTCTTATGGCCCTTCAAGGTAAGATCAGTTTCGTATATTTTTTTTTAGTCTACTAATATAGAGATACAATAGCTAAATAATTTGGCAACGCTGTACGACTGCCGCATGGTCCAGAATATAATTCGACCAGAAGCTATCGCGTAAACATGGATCCCTTATTATTGTGAGCCAAACTTCGGCGTTGCCAAGCTTTTACTTACGAACAAAAATGGTTTTTTGGAAGAAAGTGAAGACAGCGAGATTACTATACTCTGTTTTTAAACTAGGAGGAGCGAATTGAAAAGACGCATTTACACAGGGAAAAGTAACTAGATTTGTTACTAAGAGCGAGTTTCGAAATATAGTCGTGTTCAAAATTTATGAAATAATTATCTTTATCGGCATTAATCGGTGAACGGCCAATGAGCGGTTAAGAAATGAATAAATGTCATAGAAGTAATTTTTTAATTTGGTCCCAGACAACGGTTGCAAATTTCACATTATTGTGATCTGAAATGTGTGTCTAAAACAAAATGTCACTGTCAAATTAAATTCAATTTGGTTGTTGATTGATGTCAGAAATACTTTTTTCTTGCTTTTGAAATCAACTTTTTAAGAATAACTATGATCTTTTTAAAATGGATATTAAATATTTAAGAAAATTGTTAATGGAATATCCAGATGTAGCCAGGTTAGTATAAAATATAAAGATCTGTTTACATTTTTAAGGATATATTTGTTATAGGTATAAAAACTAAAAGTTAATCAGTGAATGACAATTGTATCACACAGTAACTGGTATCTCTTCTATGAGTAATGTGGATATTATCAGAGACAACAGAGACGTGTAACTTAATAGGAAAATATGTTCGGTGGTCCATTTAAATTACATATATGACCCTCTTTTTCTTTTACATTGATCTTTACATATGTCTATCTCTCTCCAATAAAACTAACACCATTTTCAGAGGGCGCTGGTGTTGCTGGTTTTTTGACGTAGAAATATCGATTAAAAGTATTAAAACTGACAACTGACAATGTTATGAATGTTGTTATGAACATGTGCATTTTATTAAAATTAATTTAATTTGGGCCCCGTATATTTCTTTTAGTCTGATTTTGTTGTTTAATTAATTTTCTTTGGGGGGAACTGTTTATTTTTGCATATTATTTTTTGCATGAAGCAATTTCTGAAACCAAACTCGCGTTTTTGTACACATTTCTTTCTAGAGTAAGTAATTTCCAATTTATTAAGAAAACCACTGTATAATGTGTGTGTTTAATAATATATTACACAATGACTATAATTATTTTAGGTGAATTGGAACAGAGATCCATTGTTACAGCTACTTGTGTTCATTAAGTAGGTAGATGAATGTCTGGACAGCTTTAATGGCAACACAAAGTTCCTATCTACTAGAAAAGTAAAATGTATGCTGAGTAAAAAATCTGCACATGTAGTATTGGCAAAGGACTTTTGAAATGATTAGATATTAGCTATTTCTTACATACACCTACCTCTAACAGCCACTCTAAAGGAAGAAAAAAAAAATTGAATCACAAAAGGGCAGAATTTTAAATCAGGATGCATTGGAAAATAAATTTGGGGACATCAGGTCGGTTTTGGATTTTATAGAGAGATCAATCTCAAGAAAAGTTAATTTATCCTGCAGAACAACCAGTAGTTTAAGTAGGATTTGCTATAACTTTATTAGAAATTTTCTTTGATAATAAATTGTAATATAGGTACCAATTATTGTTTCAAATGAAATTGAAAATGAGTTAAATATGAAATTAGCTTTTTCATGAGTAAAATGTTATATTCATTCGAACATTGTAAGGTAATCTATAATTAAGGGAATATGGAAAATAGGTATACCCTGGTGGTGTGAGAGAAAGGTAAGGGGCAATGACAAAAAAATTACAAAAATGTATTTATCTTTAAATAGTGTTTATTATTAATAATATTATTTGCTATGTTTGAAAAGTACCTCCTGCTTCTGAACAGATCGAATAGATTAGACTACTAGTTGGAGAAGGTCCACCTAGTAACCAAATTAGGAGACTAGGAAAACTTTTACATGACTGGGGACACAACAGGAATGCACACACACAAGATACACAAACAAACGAAATAACAGGGGTAAGCCTTCAGCAACGTCCTGTTTAAATGATGATAGTATGTCATCCTTCATTCCCTTTTAGAAGGCATGGCATATAAATCTATTGATCTTGATTACTATAAGAGGAGTTAGCAGGTTTCGATCCAGTTTACAGGATGGGAACTCGACTCAGGCCTTATACATTTGTGTTGAGTGTATCTGTGTTTGTTTCATTTCCATGGTTTCTATTAAAATAAACAGTCATAACATATCGATACCTTTTTGCCAGACTAACATAAGCGACATTTGTTCAAATGGCACTTATGATAGTCTGGCAAAAAGGTATCGATATACTCTATACTTTATAAAATATTTGTTACATTAGTTTTTAAATATATTATGAATATATAACAATTGTTACTTTCTTTGTAATTTGTCACAAAATGATAGGAGGTACTTTCTAAACATAGCAATTGTAGTTTGTTTTTCTGTACCTTAAAAAAATATAATTTATAGAAAAAGAGTTTGGTGTATTATTTTTCCAAGTTTAAATATTTAATAATCAATAGAATTTTCAAGTTTTTTTAGCGAAATTTACAAGAGTAATAAAAACTATGTTCACTGCTTATATTAAACTGATTAAAACTTCCTTTATTAAAATGATTATTTATATGATAAACAATTTGATGTTATTGGAAGCTTTTATATTTTTTAATAAACAGTGAAACAATAGTTTTTGTTTCTCTTGTAAATTTGTTGTATACAAAAACGATTTCTGAATCCATGTTTGAATTTCCCGCCCTAAAGCATTTTTAATTTTCCCGCTATTTACTAGTGGCGCCATCATAGACTGGTTGTGGTTACAATCGCCCAAATAAGTTTTACCGAACAAAAAAAATACATTGAGTTACACGTCTCGCTGGATTGTCTCTGATATTATGGTTTATTTAGTGTTAACACATGGTTAATACGCTAGAGGGCAAATAAAGGCATTCAAAAGTTTACAGGCCTATAAGTCAGAATTTGTTTTGAAAATTGGAACCAACATTTTTATAACACTACATGTCAACATATATTTTTTAAAGTGAACTATTCATACATACCTATGTATTAATTTTAAGTATTTTTAAAATATTTTTTGTGAAAGTAATGTTAACTCATTGTTCCAAATTAAGATTATCCCTAAAGTAGTAGAGGGTGTTTTGTTTTAAATGTTATAACAATTTTGTAAATAGTTTTATTCTATTCTAATAAATAAAATTTGCTTGAATATTTAGTTACATTTTAATCATTTTGGTTAGAAATTCATCAATTTTTAGTCTTAAAAAATCAGTAATAAAATTATTTTTTTCTAAAATACTTCGGAATTCATCTCCTCATGGTAATCTCCCATCTTTTTACCTTCAAAAACCAATAATGCATTTTCTACAAAACCTTCAGAATCAGCATGTAAAATAATAAGGTGTCTTCCCTTTCTTGTAAGGCGTTTCAGGAATTGCTACCTTTAATAGTACTCAGTGTAGAAGGATCCATAATTGTAGATTTTCAATACAATTGCTTACTGAAGAACTATTATTTACGAAATAAAGTAAAAAACTAAGTAATGGATGAGATATCAAATTATAAAATGTCAGAACTGTCAACAATATCAATTATTAGCTGATGTTCATGCTAAAAAGTAATGTGTGAAACTGACTGCAATCTGACCAATCAGAAGGCTACAGAATTGCCAACTTAAATTCAAATCGCTCCTCTTAGTTTAAAAACAGTATAATAGTTAATTAACGGACGAACTAGGATGTACTCCTCTAGTTTCCGATAGTGAATAATGTTTCACTTTTTGCACTAGTTGCATAAATAACTATTATTTTAATTGTAATAAAAATCTTAAATTACAAAATTGTGTTGCTATAATCCAATAAATGTTTTTTGTTGGGAAACTGCTTTAATTCTTATTTAAATAAGAGCCTACGCCACTGGTATATCGATCTGGAGCAACGGAGAAGGAATATTTTAAAGTGAGGCAGACGATGACTAGTTGATGACGCCCGTGGCTTTTTCTAAGTTGAATCGTACTCTTGTTTCAAAATTGAATGCTTGTAACTGAAAGTTAAAACAGTAACATTTTTATATATGTATTTTTTTCATTTTAGCTAAACACACCAACTGGTGGCTGGCGTAAGAAGACCAATCACTATGTAGAAGGTGGTGACTTTGGTAATAGAGAAGATAAAATAAATGAACTTCTCAGAAGAATGGTTTAAACTATAAGTTTAATAATAAATTATGTATAAAAGACCTTCCAATCGTTTTAATTTCTCAAATATTTAGTTCAGTAAATCCCGAATCAAATCCTGCATTTTGGGTAGGCACCAATTTTTTTATTTTTATCACATAAAAGCGTTGAACCTGAATTTAAATTGAGTTTTCTGAAAGTATTTTTTTTCTATCTCCATCTTATGAAAAAACTCCAGAGTTTTCTAATAAAAATACAAAATTGATGCCTACCTGAAATATACAATTGGTTCTTTTTAACGCAGAATTTATTGTAGTGTATTACGTTAACCACAAGTGTGACATTCACAAAGAATGTGTACAGACTGGATATTTTATTAACCTCTGATTACATTAATGCTTGTAATTGATCACATGGGCTATAGTGAGACATTCTTGTAAAAAGCAAGCATGTCACCGAGGCGTCATTATAGATGCCTCATTTTTGGAAGTGATTATATGGTGGGCAGAGATTACTCCCTAATCTCTTCCACTATCTGGATGGAGCGTTTTTCTATCTGCGCGCTCCACAGAGTGGTGTTGGGTTGTTACTGAAACTACACATATAATGCATATTACAGCTTCTTCTATTTGTGCGGTTACATATTTAATTACCACTATTAATTTTAGATCTGTATCCTGAGGGATTTCTCCCATCAGTCGGGCGTTCACATCGAATAAGTAAAATTTCACTTTTAATACCAATTTTTTCATCATCCATAATATGAATGTAAATGTGGTACCCTTTCATACAGTACGCCACTGTTAATTGTACCATGTCCTCTCCACCTTCCCCTCTGTATCCATCCACCATGATAGTACGTATAAGGCCAATTATCCTAAAACATAGTCTAAGGCCAGTTTCTAGAACGGGACAGGGAGCGGAGTTTTCTAGGGTGCTTTTAAATGACATTTAAGAGTGTTGAACTGTCACTAAATCGGACGCTAAAAGGGTTGTTTGGAGTTAAAAGTGTTAAAGGAGCTTGGCAGACCGAACGCAATAGTTCGGACAGACAAGTTCATTCACTCCTTTAACTCTAAACGACCCTTTTTGAGTTCGATTTGGTCTTAAAAGCACCCTAAAAAACTCCACTCATGTCCCGTTCCAGCACCTGGTCAAACCGAACCATAGATAAATTAATTTATCTATGAACCGAACGCTACTTGTTCTCATTGCGTTCGGTCTGCCAAGTTCCTTTAACACTTTTAACTCCAAACGACCCTTTTAGCGTTAGGTTTAGTCCGATTAGTGACAGTTTAACACGCTTAAATGTCATTTAAAAGCACCCTAAAATTTGTCCCGTTCCAGCTAATGAACTGGAGGGGGGTAGAATGCTAATGTACATGTTGTACTATTAGAACAAGGTGCGACCAATGAACTGGAGGGGGGGGGGGGGGGTAGAATGTCAATGTACATGTTGTACTATTAGAACTAGGTGCGACTCTATGGGCGCAGCCATTTTTATTGTTCATCTCACTCGGGACTATTTATGATAACCATTTTCTGTTTCACATTGTTATTGTTCAATCCACAAGCTGGTGGATCAGACAATAACAATGTGAAATAGAAAATGGTTATTTTAAATACTTCCGAGTGAGATGAAAAGTAACCTATCTTTGCTCATAGAGTCGCACATCAAGTCTATTGACAAGCATTCTACCCCACTCCAGTTCATTGGGTGCGACTCGATGGGCGCAGCCATTTTTATTGTTCATCTCACTCGGGACTATTTATAATAACCATTTTCTGTTTCACTTTGTTATTGTTCAATCCACAAGCTGGTGGATCAGACAATAACAATGTGAAATAGAAACTGGCTATTTTAAATACTCCCGAGTGAGATAAAAAATAACCTATCTTCGCCCATAGAGTCGCACATCAAGTCTATTGACAAGCATTCTACCCCACTCCAGTTCATTGGTTCCAGCCCCTGACTGACCGAACTCGCCTTCTGTGAACGTGCCCCGTCAACTGTCAACTTTTATTTAGGTTAAACTGTCAAACAAAATGTAAACATTCGGCAAAAATTATTACTCATCTTATGATGTTTCTTATTAAATTACAATTAGGATTTGTAATTAGCGATGTTCTTTTCTAGCTAATACCTAGAATAATTTCAGGCTTTTGGACCAGTTTTATATCATGCGATACTCACGTAAGAAAATTTTCTTATGTATGTTATCAGTATTATTAATAGGAACTATTGTTTATATCGAACTATTTTCATATTATATAAACACTTACAATTGGCGACAAATACAGTGTCAACACAGAGATAAATGTACAAAAATACTTCTTGTAGCTGATCCTCAAATTATAGGCAATCATGAAGAAATACTACATTTCCTTACACCACTTACTATTTTTGACAGTGATAGGTAAGAGAAAATGTTTTGACTTTATGGATTTTCAATAACATTTTTTTTCTGCATTTATATTGTAGGTTCCTTATGAAAACATATATACATGCTTACAATTTTATTGAACCAGATATTGTAATATTTCTGGGAGATTTAATGGATGAAGCACATAGAGCTTCAAATCATGAATTTCACCAATATGTTAGAAGAATCATAAATATCTTTTTGGATACTTCAAGTTCCTCATCAGTTCGAGTAATTTTTAATTTAACAATTTTATGTATTAGTGGTTAATAACCAAAGTACTTAATTGATGCTGATGTGATGACATACACAAAACCTAGTGATGGGAGTACAGTGCAACCTCTTTAATCCGAACACCTAATTGTCAGACCTTGTTCGGAATATCGAATTGTTCGGATTAACGAATATACAATAAAACACCTATTACACATTTTTAGACCTTTAGATCTATGTATGTATTTTTGTACATTTAAATGCATTATCAAACTACATATGGGCGATGCGGGCCGCGCTGCAGGTCTTTTCCTGTCAGCGTTCGGTTTATAGAGGCGATGTTCGGACTATCTCGCATCACGATTTGCGTTCGGATTAGCGTGGGTTCGGATTATCGAGGTTGCACTGTATTCGTATACAAAAATCGGAATTTTTTCGATTCTTAAAATAATCGGATATTCCGATTATTTATAAATATTCTGATAAGTTCTTGATATCTAGAATTTTATTGGTCTTTAGTGTTTTGTGTTCCTGTTTATGACTAATCGGATGAGTTATAACAATTAATTGGATGATGACTTATAATTTTATAACAATGAATCGGATAATTCGAATGAGTTGTTTGCGAGTTTGGATTCGAAATATATTGAAATCGGTACGGCCGTAAAAATATAGAACTAGAAATTTAGGAAATAAATTTTATTCTTAAATCTAAGTATTATTTTAACAAAAATAAAAAATAAATGAAAAAAATGCATTCTGCATAATCCCTTAAGTTTTTTAAAAAATATCCATTTAAGAATGAATAATAATTAAAAAAAAAAAACTTACCAATTCTACTTATTTTACGCAAATAATACAAAATTTATGATTGGAATTGTGTGAAACCCCCTACAATATATGTACTGGATAACGAAAACGAGGAAACAAAAAACTTATCTCAAATCACGATATTAGGAGCATATAATTAAATTAATCAGAAAGTGGAATATTATACCGATTATTAAAATCAATCGAATACTAACATTCTGATTATTAGAATTATCCGATTATTCCTATCACTACACAAAACATCTGTATATTGAAAGCACAATGTCCTAAGCCTATTTTGTTGAAAATATTTAAAATTAATTTATCTAGTATTTTATATATATTTTTTTATGTTAAGCCACACTTTTTGAAAAAGCAATTTTCAGAGAATTTAAGACAATCTGTTTCTTACTTATAAGAATTTGACAACATTCATTTATTGGATATAGTTACTGAGTGACTGTAAATGATCATTGGTCAAAATTAAAAATATCCTAAAGTAGGACGGCCAAGAGAAGGAGAGCACCTACGACATTTTGGAAACCTATGACATATTTTTAGGCTATTTTTATACCATATTCAAAAATGTTATGCTACTTGTTCTTTCAAAAATCAAGGTGCTCTACTAACTTCGAACAAAGACAGCAGAGTACTTCAGTTTTTATTTCTAAACAACCATGTCACATTTTTAGAATCTTGAAATATAAAACATTTTGAACTAATTGATATTTTTGAAAAATATGGGGTGTAGCGTTTTACTAGCTTGTTTTGACCACACCACATTCTTAAGCTCTTTAAAACATTTTGAAAAAATGCTGACCCTATAAATAAACAATATTGGAATTGTGGACTGTAAAAGTTCATGTACGTTTATATGTCAAACTGTTTCATGCAAATGAACGATCTTCACAAATAAGCAGAGAATATAAATATTATATATAAATAAATAATAATTTATTTCAAGGTTTAAGTAGGCTGACCACTCCTCCAAAAATTTTCCACCTGCGTCTGGTTAACGTTTTTTAATTGTTGTTCATCTAATGTTCGTTGTTTAAGCCATAGTTTATTTTCAGAATTGGTTTGGTTTTTTAAAAGTCATAAGTTATGAAAAAATATTACATTATCCGCATATCTTCTTGATTTTATTTCATATGGATTAATCTTATATGAAGAAGAAAAACTTTATTGGGAGTAATTCCAAAGGGCTATCACCAATGCCTTTCTGGGCCTTATTGATATTATTCACAAAATATTATTTATTTCTGTTTATCCGTTTTCTATTCCATTGGGTTTTTTTTACCCATTTTATTAGGAACTTGAATAATAAATGTTTTTTAAACGTATGTAATTTCATTTCAAATAATTTCATTAGGTATATCCTTAAATTTATTTATAAAAAGTTTCTATGAGAATTGATAATCCCAAGTTAACTGTAATAAAATTGCTATTTATGGAACTGTAATACATGCAGGAACAGTTAAACGGAACAGCAATTGCTTATTCTTAGTTTTTATTATAAAAAATATTAACAAAATCGGGTTGCTCTATGGACTTCTTTCGAAATAAGCCTATTTTTCTAAAAATATAATATTTTTTGAATGTTTTATAATATTTTGAGAGAATTGAGAGCCTAAAATTAGGCTAACAATGTAACAGTTGTTTTTAGAAAAAACATTCCATTAATTGAGGTGCTCTCCTGGCTTTATTCGAAGCTAGCAAAGCATCCTTATTTTTTTTTAAATATCAAACGTTTTTGGAAAGTTTAAAATTTTTCTTGAGTCTAAAAATAGCCTACAAATACGATGTGGTTGTTTTCAGAAAATACCGAGGTGCTCTGCTGCCTTCGTTCGAAGCTAGTGGAACATCTTGATTTTTGTCAAAATTCAAGGATTAGGTATAACATTTTTGAATAGGATATAAAAATAGTTTCAACTTAAAATTCTTTATGTGCTCTGCTGGCTTCTTTGGCATTAAAGTAGGTGTACAACAACTTTTAAAATAATAACTTTTCAGCATATCTGGTTACCTGGAGATAATGATATTGGAGGTGAAGATTCTTTAGTTACAAAAGAGAAAATAGAGAGGTTTGAACATGCCTTTTCCCAACCTAGCTTTATTACATTTAGACATCTAAATTTGTTCAAAATAAACAGGCTAGTTTCTGAAATTCCAGTTTACAAAAAGAAGAGGGAATTTTTTGATACCAGTGAGATATTTATTGGTCTAAGTCATGTGCCCTTACTGTTTAAACCTTCAATATTTGTAGAAAAGGTAAAACAGTTTTATATTTTAATATATTTAATTTTTTTCTTAGGTTTAAGTAATTTAAACTTTGATATTAAAAGTATATCATTTAAGAATAATTCATGATTTTGATATTTTAGCTTAACAAAACAAAAAATAGAATTGTAATTGAAAATTGAGTTCCCAAAATTTACCATTTCCTTTTATTTTTTGATTCCATATAAGATAAAACAAAAAATTGTTAATGCAGTTTACAACTATTACATTTTGCTTACTATTTTGAACTCGATTTTCAAAACTTATAATTTGCTAGCAACACAGCAGTGTTTTTAAAACTAAAAACCAATACAAGTTCTGAAACAAAAAATAAAACCCTTAAACAAGCCAATCAACCAAGCAGTATTCTAGTTTTTCAAAATATTAAAATAAGTGGGTGTTTTTTAAGGATTTTTGCAAAAATCACTTTTTAGCTCAAAAGTTTTTTATGTTACCTACCCAATTTGTTTAATAACAGAAATAATAATTATTCTATTACTAACAACAAACTTTTAGTGTCATATTTTCCAGCTTATTTTAGAAAATTTGGGCACAACTTCTTGATAAGTTTACAGATGATATTAATCTTTTAGTTGTCCTGAACTAGGAAAGCTAATGAATTATTTATTTAGACAAAATGACACTCATATAGATATGTTATGTTCAAAAATTAATAACCTTATTAATGTACCAACTAAATTATTAAATTTTTAAAAATAATAAGAATGCTAATTTTGAATACTTATAGCATATTTTAAACCGGCAATAGCAACACATTTACAAAATTTTTAATTCATCAATGAATTTTAAGTGTTATATTAAATATACCATTCATAAATTCCTGTAGAAACAAGTTTTTTTTTTCTCTCTCCTGGGCTCGTCTGACTATGTGTCTCCGAATAACACTGAAGCCTATTGGCTTATTGTGTTTTACCCCATGTTAGTTCATAGCACCCACTCTATCACCTTTGTACCTTGTACAAGTTTGTACAGATCCTTGGGTGAGTGGGTTCTATACGTTGTTGGATCAACCTGGGGTTGTCCAAAAGGAACCTGTCTTTTGCGATCTAGAGCTTCGCATTCGCACAGTATGTGTTTGGCCGTTTCTGGTTTCTTGTGACATAGTAGAAACAAGTTTAAACAAAACAATACGCTCTGTATCTGTGCAATCATTTGAATAATGCAATTTTCAAACACAAGTTCCATTATTTGCAACACTCATTTTTTGACACATTTGCTATTAAAAACACAACATATTCACTCCAGTTTGATTTTAATGACACAGAAGATTTACTGTGCTGGCAATTCAAACCTTCAGTCCTGCTTTGCTTGTGTTAGCGCTCACACATGCAGGAAAAGAAACGACAGTATGCACAATGCTAGTCAGTTGTCAGTAATACTAATAAGTTACCGAGCTTTAATTAACATGTCAATACCACTTCATTTCCTCTCCCAAAGCCATTTACTGTTCAGTCCAACACAAGCAAAGCAGGACCGAAGGTTTGATATTGCCAGCACTGTATCTGTAGTTTTTGTTACTAAAGAAAAATTGGTGGTTATAGTGTTACAGAATCATATGATTATTTTATGAATGTCTCCTGTTAAGAACAAATACGTTCCAAATATATTATAACCATGTGTAGAGGTAAACCAACGGAAGTTTGGGAAAGCACGTGGCGGACGGATAACTAAAGTAGATTATACAATTTAAATTAATGTTGGGTCCACCAAAATTTTTCGAATGAATAAATTTTTAAAGATAGGTTTTCTAATGAGATATTTTATAATGGCAAATGTATTTAAAAGCAATTATTTCGAAATCAGGTTTTAAAATTTTGGATCAACCAACAAGAATATTTATTTATACAACTTAGAAACAATTTTACAAAAATAAGCATATAGTATTTTTAATAATGTTGCAGTATTAAAAGCTAAATAACTAAAGCAATATATTGTTCTATTTGGTCGTCATCCATATCTTCTGTGGAACTTGAGATGATATGTTTAATTTGAAAGTTATGTTTTCGAATTCGCTTCTTAGGTGATTGTCCTCTTATTTCTTGATTTATTTTCTGTTCAGTAATCGTTTGTTCTCTTTTCAAGGCTTTTATAAAGTTCCATATCGAGGGATTCTTATAATTAATTTGACTTTGCAAAGTGTTATGCAATGATTCAAAAATTGTTTGTGATTGGGATATCATTTAAAATAAGATTGTAAAAGTTCCGATATTTGTGGTCAAATCTCGGGTTTTCCATTGTTTCGTTTGTCTTCTCTCCTATCCAGCTTGCTTCAAAATAATTGCAAAAAATATCAATGTTTTTAGGAAGCAGTAATCGTTGCCGAATTTGCTTATATGTACGTGTTTCTGCGGTATAAAAGCTAATGCTGCCACTAACTTGACAATAAATCAACAAAGTCTGTTTTAGTATGGTACTCATTTTTAAGACCCAATTTTTGTATTTACAAACACTGTTTAAAACGAAAATAGCAGCCAATATGTGAAACCGAAGTATTGAAGAGGGATATTTCCAAATCAGTTGTAATTTCCTTAGCCACTGTTTTTTGTATAACATTTTTTACTTTTTCAAATAAAAAAGTGTAGGTTTTTTCTAGAATTAATATATATATATACTAAAGGGACAACCGTGTGACTACCAACGAAAACCATGAATTGCTGAAAAATAGCAGGTACACATTTGAAAGTTCTATCCATGTACCAATAAGGTATTTTTCGCGACATAAACAGATTATGTTGTTCGATCATGTTCGTCTATCCCCCCACCACATATAGTATATGTTGGCGCGAAAATGGAAAATCCATGCTGTTTTGAAAGTGGGCAGTGAGTTGAAGTAACAATTTTTTATTATTTCAATTACTCATGTGTGTGTAAACTACGCGATTTTTCCTAAGAGTAAAAACAGTTTAATTATTTTATATTAATATTAATGTACCTAAATATATTGTCTAAAAATTACAAAAAAATGTTACTTGTGCTATTTTAATTAGGGCCGATTCCACCGTTGTGTTAAACGGAGATTAAAATGACATTGTTAATGTAAAAATGTCATTTTAAACTTCGTTTTACATAACGGTGGAATCTGTCCTTAATCTATTTATATTTACTATATTTTAATTGTTGAATAATTTCGACACTTTCCTCTACTTCAATTTCAATCTTATTTAATTTAAATTTTAAAATTAAAGCCATCTTTTATCTTTGTATACCGTCTGTAGTCATTTGTCAAACACATGAATTAACATAACCGCCTGTGGATGAGATCATGTTCGAGTATGCTAAACATGCCTAAATAACATGATCTACCATAAACGTTTATGTTGGTTTATGTCGCGAAAAATACCTTATAATACTGATTCGCCAAGGAAGCGCACATTGGTGGCTATAAAAAAAATTAGTATCTTTCGTTCATTTTTGCCAGAGTCAAACAGCAAAAAACTGGCAGCATTATCTGTATATTTATCGGGAAAAGTTAATTCCGTTAAACTAGGTACACAAGCATACAGATTAGTTTTCTTTCTTGTATATTGGATTTTTCTTTCCAGGCTACCTATAGATAGTAAATTTGCTCGTGTTATAACAACAAAACTTTGTTGCTTCGAAAATAATATGATGTGGGGTGTATTGCGAAGTTGACGCCATATTTTTTATATTCTGCCTTACGCTTCCTCATTCTCACTTCTTCCAGTGGTTGTGTTATCCGTTATCCATGTTTTCCGTTATCGCTCTCCCCTTGCATTTTTTGTGAAATTCTTCGCATTTCCAGTATATTTTGTCGTTACACTGCTTATCTTTGACGTAACAAGTATTAAAAGTAATTTTAAAAACAGACTTCAAAATCGTGCAGATGCCGTCACCATATCTTAACCAAATTTATATAGGACCTCCCCTGAGGTACCCCCTTACTAACAAAAAAGGAATCATAGAAATCGGACAAGGTGGTAAATAATTACCGCTAAACTTACATTAAAAATGAAGAATTTGAGGATTTTCTAATGGACCCAATTATTAGATTTTGACCAAATTAATATGGGACCACCCCTAAAGTATCCCCTTTCTAACAAAAAAAGATTCATTGAAATCGGACACCGTATTAAAGAATTATCGCTGTACATAAAAAAAAAATATGACGAATTGAGAACCTCCTTCTTTTTGAAGTCGGTTAAAAATACCCTTCTACGTACAATTTTCGATTTAAAATTGAAGCACTAAACATCTCGCTAGATATTAAAATATGACAATCAAAAATTACATCGACAGTATTAAATATGACAACAAACAATTCATCAAATTTAAAAAAAAGTAACGAATGTTTCTATGATGTAAAAATTTGTTTATTTTAAAAGTCACAAATTCAGAAAACACTGCTCTTCGAAAGAAAACAATTTCGAAAAATGTTTTCGAAAAAATGCATTCGAAAAATTTTGGCGGATCCTTTTATTCCTAATGCAGCCTTCGAAAATATAGTGATGAGATTCTTTGTAATTTTTTAAACTGATTTTCCATTAGCTTATTTATGTAAACATATGAATTTAAGTTATTATAAACAATACTTATACCTCAGATTTTTAAAACATGAAGAACTCATTTTGGCCAAACGTGCACATATAACTTTCTTCCTTGACACGGAAGTATATGTAGGTAGCTACTTAGCTTTTAGTGTAGGTGATGTTTTTTCGATAATGTATGTGCTTAATATTTGACTTTTTTACCACAGGGACGTTTTATTTTCAGGATGGAAAGAAATCTAAGTCTACTGTTTTGCCTTCCTTCCTTATTTTTAAGGTATTTTTACTTACACCTGTCGCTGCTCAAATCCTCTGCCTGTAATTAGCGTAAAATTCAATTCCTGCTTCTATTGTTTAAAATGGTAATAAACATACTTTTTCTTATACCTACTTGAATTCTAGCAGTTTTAGTTCAAAATACTAACTAATGCACAAAAACGACATATGCTGTAGGATTATTTTAAA